GCAAATCCATGCCCCCAACCATGTCAGCTTCTTCTTCATCAATATCGTTGCATCTTCTCCTTCCATGGACCGCTTCAACAGCTAAACTCGTTGCTCATGCTCCAGTAAAGCCCAGCAGATGGCGGTGAGACATGGACCACAACCACAGTTCTCTCATCTCTATCATCTTCGCCCGTGGCCCACGACGTTTCCTGTTGTGCATCGTAATGCCACAACCTTCAATGCTTCGATACCACTTGTTGTGTTATAATGCCACAACCTTCAATGCTCTGATACCACTTGTTGAACAAACACCACAACAACAATGTTTTGATACCACTTCTTATAACCAAATGCCACAATCAAAATGTTCAGATACCCAATTGTGGTAGCAGAAAGTAAAATTAAGATCAATCACATTTACACACCCACAAACATAAACTAAACAAAGAGATACAAAGATTTACATTGTTCAGATATAAGAAATTTCCCTACATCCAATAGTAGATAATCACTATAACCAAAAGTGTGTACAAAGTATATCTTTCACACTCTCATACTACAAAATCTCTCTTACAAAGGCAAAGACAGGGGATGGTCGGGGAAGGACAAGGACGAGGGTGGAGAATATTCATCGCTCGGTCTCCCTTTAACTTGCACGAATTTTGTCCTCAAATAATTAGGTGAAAACAAAATTAATTGTAGTTAATCTCTTCTAAATACGTCTATTTTGCAGGCCAAATTCATTAAATAATCAAATAATAAACTTTTTTAGCAAAGCTTGGAAGTTAGTTAGAGTTGTTAATCATAGTTTAAAACTTAGTTAATCCAAAAGAGATATGTAATATATAAAAGAAAATAAATTAAAATAAGAGATGAGGAATCTCAGGTTCCACATATTATGACCACGACATAATGGTGAAGACAGCAAGAATCGAGCTGTCACTTTCTTCGAGGTGAAATGTCCAAGAATTTTGTCGTTTTGTGGTTATTTCTCCCCCATAACCTTACGTTCACTTAGAAGGGCTTATCAATAACATTTTAAAAATGGATTTCGAAAAATATATCAAAATGACTAAAATATCCTCCGACTAAATTTACGACCAAAACAATCTATCTTAACACTCAAAACTACCATTAAAAATTTCAATAATATTCTTAAATTTAAAAAAACTAAAAAATACGTTTAATTTTTAAAATAAATCAAAATTATTTAGATAATCCACTAATTCTTTTTAAAAATTAATTTCAACAATATTTCAAAAATACCCTTTCTATTAATATTTTTAAATTTTTTAAAAACTTAAAAAAAAATTAAAAATATTCTTACTCCAATTTAAAATAAAATAAAAAATTAAAATTTTGATGTTATCAAAGTTTCTTCTCAGAATATTTTTTTACAAAAATTTTAAAGTTTTTTTTAACAAAAATTTATAGATATTTTTTTAAAGAAAAATGCAAATATATTATATATCATCTTTATAAAGTATAAATTCAAATAGCAACGGAAAGTGTGACAAATAAAATACACATTATATTATATAAACCCATACTCCTAAGTTAAACATCTACTAAGACAAACACATAAGGCTCTCTACAAGTCATATTCATACAAAAATTCAAAAACTTTTTTTTAAGCTAATTATATTTATATATATGTTATTAACATTTTCCCGAATATAAATTAGTTTCTATAAAGATTCAATGCCTATTATTTTTTGCCATCATTTTCCCCATTCCCTCTATAAAACCCTACTTCCATTGCCACTCCAACAAGGAAAACAACTCCACCGGAAAAAATGGAGTTCCGACGTCGAGATCTCCTCCTCTGCATCATGGTTTTGACGTTAATGGCGAAATCCAATGCTGGGATGATAGCTATTTATTGGGGTCAAAATGGAAATGAAGGCACTTTGGCAGACACCTGCGCCACCGGAAACTACCAGATTGTTATCCTTGCTTTTCTATCCGTCTTCGGCAACGGACAGACGCCGCAGATCAACCTCGCCGGCCACTGCGACCCCTTTAGTAATGGATGCATTAAATTGAGCTCCGACGTCAAGTCGTGCCAAGCTAGAGGCATCAAGGTGATTATATTTTATTATTGAATTAGGTTTATTTAATCACTTCAGACTCGGTGGTCAAACTTGACTTGAATAGATACGAGATTTCCCATTTAGACATAAACTACTTTGTTTTGGGCTTTCTCTCTTTCATTTATAAACTTACGATCTTCCAATAAATTAATCAATGTGGGATTCACTCTCAATATTGACTCAGGATCTTCCACTAAATTAACTAACGTGAGACTCACTCCCAATAATTCTCAATACTAATTTCATAATAGGTTATACTTTCCATCGGAGGCGGCGTGGGAAGCTACTTCCTCCCATCGCCCGAAGACGCCAAAAAAGTTGCAGACTACCTATGGAACAACTATTTAGGAGGACATTCCCCGTCCTCACCTCGTCCGCTCGGCAATGTCGTGCTCGATGGTGTCGACTTCGACATCGAAGGTGGGACAAACAAGCATTGGGACGAGCTTGCAAGGGCTCTTTTGGACTTCGGCAACCGAAGCGGCAAGAAGATGTTCATCACGGCAGCTCCACAGTGCCCTTTCCCCGACGCCTGGCTCGGCGACGCGCTGATGACCGGTCTTTTCGACTTCGTTTGGGTTCAATTCTACAACAACCCACCATGTCAATTTTCAGGAGACGGCACCAATCTTTTTGATGCTTGGAAAGTATGGACTTCCAAAATTCCTCATGCACAAATCTTCTTGGGCCTCCCGGCGGCTCCGGCGGCTGCCGGCTCTGGGTTCATTCCGGCCGATGCTCTCAAATCAGTGGTGCTACCAGTCGTCAAACGCTCACCTGAGTACGGCGGCGTTATGCTGTGGTCGAAGTTTTATGATGATCAAACTGGCTATAGCTCTTCCATTAAACAAGTTGTTTGAGATATGTAACATGTTGTGTCCCCTCTTATACAACATCTATGTATGTATGAGTGTATGTATATATGCATGTATATCGTATGTATCAACAACTAAAAGAAAGATCGATTCTTTGGGATCCTTCCTTTCTTCAAACGAAACAAACAGAGATAGAATCAGACCGATTCCCTAAATGCTTTTCTAGATATTCCTCAATGTCCTGGCTATTCACGGAACGTGAGAAGCAGATGAATAATCATCCGCTTCCGGAAGAAATCGAATAATTTCTCGGGAATCCTACAAGATCCATTCGTTCTTTTTTCTCTAACAGATGGTCAGAACTTCATATGGGTTCGAATTCTATTGAGAGGTTCACTAGAGATCAGAAATTGTTGAAGAAAGAATAAGATATTTCTCTTGTCTCTTCCAAGCGATCGAAAAATAAAGAAATAGTTAATATATTCAAGATAATTACGTATTTACAAAATACCTTCTCAATTCATCCTATTTCATCAGATTCGAGATGTGATATGGTTCCAAAGGATGAACTGGATATGGACAGTTCCAATAAGATACACGTTTGTTGGGTTTTTTGTAATAAAAGTGATGTAAATTTATTTATCTTTGACGACGCTTCAATTCAATAAATTTGAGTGATTGAATTATTACTCATCCATGTACGTATCAAATTAATAAGAATGGATTATTAATTTTGATATAGTTTATGAATTCGGAACATATAGTTCATGTAGGTTGATTAGAAAAAATTTATGTGTTAATTATTAAATTATGAAATAAATTCATTAATATATAAACATATCGTACAAAATTATTTAGAGAGTTAATGGAAAAAAAAAATTTAGAATAATATTCCGATGATAAATAAAATGCAATAAATAAACACAAATTTTTTAATTTTGTATCTATTAAAATTTATATTTTTTAAAATTTTCATAAATTAAAAAAAATTGAATGTTTAATGTTATATAAGACGTAAAATTTAATTTTGTGTAGTAGATTTGTTAATTTTAACAAATATTGAAAATATATTAAATAAAAAATTGAAGGTTTGAAAGTTTTATTTAAGTTACGAATTTAGTTTTTATAATTTAAAAAAGTTATAAATTGTTATAAATTAAAAACAATAACTCGATTAAATAAAAATAATAATTCTTCGAACTTCAAGTTCCCAGATCCTCTGTTCGGGAAAAGACGACGGCGTCTTAATTTTGCGGTAGAGGATGCGCCGATTACAATGCGACGAGTTAGAGCTTCGAGTTTCTGCTGTCTGGATTCGGTTTAAGGTTGTGGCAATCCTCTTTTAGAAGTATTTCGATCACACTGCACGGTATTTACTCTGTTACACTGCAACTTAACGCTTCTGATAATATATTATGCTATGATGCGCTGAAAGTTACTCGGAAAATTGAATTTGGTGTAGAATTGTTGATTCTGATGGGAGCTTTAGAATTGAAATTCGTATCTTTGAAGGATTAGTTACGATTAAGGTTAGGCGTTAGCAGTATTAGCACATGAATGATGATCGCGTATTTGGGGCTTTGTTTTCCTCTTTGAATCACGCTCTTGCTTTGTATGATGATCGCGTAGAACATTGAATAAAATCATGTATCATGATCCTTGCAGAAAACAACGTTTAAAGTTTCATTTGCTACAATGGGAAACTATCGACATTCCAAGTTTTCGATTAGTATTCTGCATTCATCTCTATAAATGGTCTAATCTACCAGGATCAGGTCATGCTAGATCCGGAACTTTTGACTTGCACAATTTTCAGCTTATTTAGATTGAAAACCCCATTCTGTGAAAGATCCACTTCTTCACCTCTTTGTAGTACTATTTAGAGAAAATAGACTGTGGTTTACTATGAGATCTCACGTCGGTTGGGGAAAACAAAACATTCTTTATAAGGATGTGAAAACCTCTCCTTAGCAGACGCTTTTTAAAAACCTTGAGAGGAAGTTCGAAAAGGAAAACACAAAGAAGACAATATCTGATAGTGGGGAGTTTGTGATGTTACAAATGGTACCAGAGCCAGACACTGGGTGATGTGCCAGCGAGGAGACTGAACTCCGAAGGGAAGTGGACACGAGGCGGTGTGCCAATAAAGACGTTGTGCTTTGAAGGGGGGTAGATTGGGGGGTCCTACATCGATTGGAGAAGGAACGAGTGCCAGCGAGGACAGTGGGCCCCAAAGGGGGTGGATTGGGGGGTCCCACATCGGTTGGAGAAGGGAACGAGTGCCAGCGAGGATGTTGGGCCTTGAAGGGGGTGGATTGTGAGATCTCATATCGGTTGGGGAGGAGAACTAAACATTCTTTATAAAGGTGTGGAAACCTCTCCCTAGTTAGACCCATTTTAAAAACCTTGAGGGGAAATCCGAAAGGGAAAGTTCAAAGAGGACAGTATGTGCTAGTTGTAGGCTTGACTTGTTACATTTACCTAATTATCTTGCAACTTCATTTTTTCCGTTAGAGATGCTGGCTTCTTCACTTAGGTTTATCAGATTTTTATCTTCTTTTTCTTGTTTACCTCCATAATACTTGAATAGTTTCAGAACCACATGTTTCTTCAATTTTAGTGAAATTTCTTAAAGAAAAAGTTATTTCAGAACCTTTTTCCTTATCCATATAAGTTAGGCCAAGATCAGTCCGGAATTCAAGTCTTTCCAAGGTGAAATTGACCTTAGATATTTGTTAAGCCTTTTAAGTTCATATGTTGTATGGTTGTGTGCTGAATGTAAAAAATAAGGTAGTTGCTTGTTTTATAAGTGAACTAGGAAAAGAAATTCACATGCTATGAGATTTCTCTGGGCAAGTTGGAGAGATAGGGAGAGGAGTTGGTTCCTGGTGTCTCCTGTTTGACCTTAAAGGAACAGACAAAAAAATGCACTTGTGACCACCATCATGTTTAGTCAACAAGCTGAGGTATTGATCATGTGGTCATGTCGTCGAAGAATATATATAATTGTTTTCTTCATCGCCTTTTACATCCATGAATTGCAAAGAACTTATGGACGACCCTCGATCTCTAGCAGTTGGAAGCTTTTCCACCAGTTGGCTGTCAAATATGATGCAGTCCTATGATGCCACATCCAAAATGATGGATTGTAAGATTGTTAAGCCTTCAAGGTTTCTGGATGAACCCCAGAGCTTCAAATTCAATACTCCAATCCATCCATCTATCCTCATAGCCCATGCTGATGAACTCTTCTTTGATGGTTCTATCAGACCTGTTTATATAAGTCACACAAGATTGGGAGCCTCTAACACATCTGATTTTGTCCCAGTTAAAGCACAATTCTTCACTTGCTTCTTTAACTTCTAGTCCATCCATAGGAAACCAATGTTGTCATTCTGGAAGATGGAGACGATCGTTTCTTTTACGGTTCGTTAAGCTCCAGTTCTTTACTTCATTGTTTCTCATTCTGTTGTTGTTTTAGGGGAATGATGTCCAGAACCAAAAGAAACGGACAATGGAAGATTTCTGGAAGGGTTGTCCTCTTTTTCTCTGGCAATATCCCTTTTCCCTTCATTTTCTATGGAGAAATTATATTCTGTTGGTCTTGTGTGGATGAAAGGCTTGGATAGGATCGTAGATTTGTTCATAAACAAAGTATCTCATGCATCCTTGAGTGTGCATATACCATAGAGGAAGAGAAACGAGTCATTATTCAAGAAAAAACAGGGTATCTGTTGTTGAGGATTGTTGGAAGGAGTCCCACATTGACTAATTCAGGGAATGATCATGGTTTTATAAGTAAGAAATATGATCATGGCTTTATAAGTAAGGAATATGAGGCCTGTTGGGAAAGTCTAAAGCAAAATCACGAGAGCTTATGCTCAAAGTGGACAATATCATACCATTGTGGAGAACTGTGATTCCTAATATCTGTTTCATATGGATAGGAATTTGAGGCATTTTCATGGGTACAAAACCAACTAAAAGTTAGCTTATTTAAGTAGTTGACTTGTTTCTTCACATATCTACATAGGTGCTTCGTCAATTATAAAATGACAATGCGATGTTCCATTGCTAGTTTCAGTCGTAGGAAATCTTCAGTTTTCTCTATCCTAATTTCAATTCATGGAATCTGGAAGGAAAGCTACCATTTCTGCGTCTAAAGAGTGAAAGAGGAAGAAAGGGTAACGTTAGGCTAGTTGAATGTGAGAGGACAGGACATGGACAAAATGTGTTAGGAAAAAAGCCACGAAGATCAACCTCACAACGTTGGTTTCACACCCTTTTGTTGTTTTCTTTCTTGATCTTTACTGGTTATGGTCTTTGCCCATGGCCAGGGGACACAAGAATAGGTTATCACCAAAATTCAGTGCACCTTAATCTTGAATTTGATATGGCTTGTTTTTGTTATATGAACAGGCGTTGTGAGTTGTGTGGAGGATGTAGAACTCTTAAATGCTTCGTTCTCCTCCTCGACTGATATGGGATCTCATAGTGTGCTTGTCTAATCACGAAAAATACTTAAAACATATAGATATGAAACCTCTGTATTGGATGCAAAACAACAAAATCTGAAGCTAATGTGTCCTACAAAGGCAAAAGAAAAGAAGATAGAAAGAAGAAGAATTCCCCACCACACAAGCATTTGGGCGGTGAGGGGGACCGAAGACACTGAAATGGGAAGCATGTCCCATTTGTCAACAATGAGTAGCTGTTGCTGCTGCCATTGATGCGGCGGCAAATGCCCAATATTAAGATCAGATCATCTTTGAGTTGCTTTGTCCACCTTCTGACTACAATTGAAATCAAATGGGTTTGCATTTTTTGTACAACAAATGATTCCATGTGTTCTGAAAATAGTTTCAAACATATATGTAGATTATCATACTCGGATCGACTAAGTAAGTGGCTTCTCTGTGAGTTGCATTAGACTCGAACCAGGATAGAGTCACTAGAGAACCTCCTTGTCTACATTAAGAAAGTGGAAGATTAAACCACCCATGCATTGTTTCGAATAGTAAAGCTTACTAAAGGTGAAACATTTCTATTTGAATTTTATAAAAATATCAAACTGAAAATAAATTACAACTATTCTTAAGTGAATGAGTTATGTCAGTGAAAGTAAGTGTTAAGTGAGTTCAAGCCTCAGAAACATATGCTAAAACTTGAAAACAAAGGAGAGAAAATTTGAAAGCAAAATTTAAAAAATTGAAATTGGTGTCTATGATAGAAGAAAAAAAGTGACTCAATTAAATCAATTTTCAATTAGATGTGTATATGATAAACTGGATTTTATAATCCCCATTTGATTTTAATCTTACTATTCTTCTATAATCACGTCCAAATTTTAAAAATTATAAATCAAAGACTAAATAATTAATTATCAAATTTGAAATTTAACTATTATTTTATTCTCTTGTGCTGGACCGAAATTAACCAACTACACAAATCATGGTGGATTTGAAATAATCTCACTAAAGAAAGCCCAAGCTCACTAAAGCTTCGCAAGTTCCAGAGAATTGTAGTATAGATTTCGAAAGCAAATGATAAGGTCCCAAATCGGTTTGTGGTGGTTCCCGATGCTGCTACCAAATCCGCCGCCGTCCTATATATCTTTCTGGTATAACCTAATTGTGCGTGTGCGTTGAAGGCTCTCGATCTCCCTTTTCTCCGGCTGGCGTGATAAGGAGGGAGGGATCCCTAAGACTTATGAGGATTAACTCCTTTCACAATGTTTGTTCATAATTTGTAGCATACTACGATGTCCACAGGGTAGGGATGGGAAAGGCCGACAATCCCATCCTATATTGGGACTATTTAATTTCCACCTGCGAGGGAAGAAATTTACAGAGATAGAATTCCAGTTTTCCACTCCACTAATGAACTTTTATGTTTCAATTTGGAAGAACTACGTTTGCATTAGGATCCTTATTGAAGAAACAAGGTTCAATGCTGCATTCTTGATATACATATAATATTAGATTTTGAGGAAATTTAAGGAAGAAAGATGCTGATAAGTAAAACAGATTCTGCCTAACCACTCCCGACGAAACAAGATCAACAAATCCACTAAATCAAAAACAGTGAAATCAGGAAGAAAAAAAATGTTGCCGAGGGTTCAAGACGATCCAAAACTAATGAAATTTGAGCGTCCTACGATTCGGCAGTCTAATCTGCGAAGGAATTAATTAAATGTTAGAGAGCACTCAATCTATGAGTTATCCTGCCCTCTGCTGGGACCTTCGCTCTAATCAACCAACTAAAAAACGGAAGTACATTACTATATGAAAAAAAGATCGAAAACCGAACCAATTATTCAGAGCTTGGCTCGGCGATCTGCTTTCACTACGATTTCCGAAGGCAAACTTGGAGCAAAAGCGCATTGATTAGAATGGCGCCCCATCCATAGGACCCTTCGGATCGGAAATAAAAAAATAAAATAAAGAAGATACGAAGCTCAGTGAATACGAACCAGATAGTTATTCATCTTACAGAGGGATTATCAAGTAACCACTCTATAATCGATGATTTTCATCTTCAATTTCGTTCTTCATCGCAATAATCTTCACTATTTTGCAGAAGATAAATTAGAAGAAGTACAACAAAACCTCATCGAGCGGTAGAGAGAGGAACCCTAATTGACAAAACCCTAGATTTCTCTGCATTGGTATGGGGTTGAAACAAGCCTGACATTTATATAGTTGAATACAAACTGTGAATTGGGCTGTTGGGCCGATTATTTGGGCATCCAAATTCAAGAGCTCAAAGCCTACTTATGAGATGGTTATCCCCATTTACTAAATAAATAAATAAATATTTTTTTTTAGTGTAAAAATTCTTTCAAATTAATATTCTTTTTAAAAATGTATATAAAAACTAAATTTTTTTCCTTGGACATCTTTACAAGGGTATACGAAAAAAAAAGAAAAAAATAGTTAAGATGAAAATTTTCTAAAAAGTTTCTATATTTGAGATGAGGTTACTTATTTATTAAGAGAGGAGATCAAATAATTCTTTTATTCTATTTATATTTCGAGTATATATATAATTAAAAATGAAGCTCTGATACTATGTTAAGAACGGATAACAAAAGTGGGATTGAAAGTACAAGAAATACAGGTAGGATCAAAAGTCTAGAAGGAAATAAAACAAAAGGTCATAATGGATTGAAAGTCCAAGAAATATAGGTGGGATCGAGGGTGGATTTGGTGGAGTCCCAAATTGATCAGAGAAAGGAACGAATGCCAACGAGGACGCTGAGTGTCTTGAAGAGGGTGGATTGTGAGATCTCACATCGATTGGGGGAAGAACAAAACTCTCTTTATAAGAGTGTGAAAACCTCTTCCTAGTAAACGCGTTTTAAAAATCTTGAGGGGAAGACCGGAACAGAAAGCCTAAAGAGGACAACATCAACTAGTGGTGTGCGTAGGCGTTACAAATTGTCCAAGTGGAATCTAAAGTCCAATTTTCATTAATCTTCACAATAAAATTTTGAAGATAAAATAAAATATATCAAATATAAAATTCTAACTAATTACCGCTATATAAAATATATTCCTATATATAAATATATACCTCGAAATATGATTTAGACAAGAAAAATGTAGCCTACAAGGTTGAAGGAAATGATAGATAGGAGAGTTTCAAATGGAACAAGTGGTTTTAGACAACAAGAGTTGCTTAAGAAGATGGAGAAGTTTTTGATTGATTCAAACTGGAAATTAAACTCTCCATTCAGCATTCTTTTAATTCACAAACAATTTCAATCCAATCAATTTCAAAATATTTTTGAGATAAAACTAACAATTTCAATTCAAAAGTTTGAATATTATTAAAATTAGTTCAATAATTCTTTCCCTCAAGGCATCACCCAAATTGGAACGAAAGAGAGAAAAAAAAGTATATAAAATTAGCTAAGCTAACCACAAACCAAAGTACTTCCCCTCATGAAAGTTCCCATACAACTAATAACATAACTTACAAATTCACCATTTGCAGAACAAACCCACTAAATTGCGAAAACCACCCTTGTGATTGAACAACAACTATACTATGATGAGTGCATTCAAAAGACAACGAGAAAGAGATCAATAAACATGTGGTTACCGCTTTTTTGTGAGGGAAGAAGACACCCAACCAAACCCAGTTTAAGCCTTCTTACCTTTCAATGGCCCTTTTGGGATCTTGCTCAAAACCTTTTCTTCAAACACGGCGTAGTGCTTTTTGAACTCAATTAGTGCCTTTTCCGCTAATGGGTCGATCTTATCTTCATACTTCTCATACAGAACAGGAACAGTGTGCAACAAAACAAAGTCTGCGTTTTCAAAGTTGTTGTCAAACGTCAGAATCAAGAAAGGATGATAACAAGATGGCTATAAATATGAAGATAGAGCTCGAGATGTCGTTACTTATGTAGAACAACGTCAAGAAATTGCACCAGCTTCCCACGATTGACAGAACCCACAAGCCAGCGATTGCCTGATATAGAGACATAACATTTCTATAATCTAGATAAAATTCAATTATTCTAACTTCGATTTCTGAGACTACAAATTAGCATATTAAGTATAATGGTCGAATCTGTAGTCCAATCAAGGTATATATATTAAGTTGCGCAACTTGTTCAGGCTCGGTTGCTACTTGAGAGTTGAGATAAACCCAACAAGTAAAATACACACAATAAAAAGACAAAAAGAGTGCATCAATAGCAGATACGTACAGTGATGAATTTCTTCAAATCTCTTCCAGTCGCAATGTCCCGCAATAATGCAAAACCACAATTGATTTCCGCCCTCAAAGTTGAAGCAAGCTCCAGGAAGGGGTCCGCAGGAAGTTGAACTTCTGGGATTCGGGGTGGACTCCTGTAACTACATTTGTTAAACAGTGGAAAGACGAGCATAATTTGAAGTCGCTAGAAACTTAATTATTGATAAAAGGAAGTTGAGATTCAGTAACTCACTTGTAGATAAATGTGTGGGCATTGGACCAAACAAACAAGAGCCCAAGAGAGAGGATCAGAGAACGAGAAACAAACGTAAGCAGATGGCACTCGAGCAGTTCAAAGAAAACCCAGATAACAGTGGCTCCAGTAAGGACACCAGCTGAGATCTTCTTATTCCTCCACAAGAATAAATCAGCAGCTGCATATGCAACAGGGGCCAGAAACGGTCATCAACATTACCAATCGCCAAACAAAAAATAAATTACCATACGACATAAGCAAGACAAGTGTCGTCATCAGAGCATATTCAAATGTGAAATCAGAAATGTGCAACGCAGAAAAAAATGAAGTAGAAGTATTGAAACCGGGACAAGGAACAAATATAACAAGTTCGGGGAAGAAAATAATAAATACTCTGTTCTGGAAGCTCAATGAATCACTCTATTATACCGTACGCTCGATCTGAACTATCAATGAAAATAATAAATACTCTGCTCTGGAAGCTCAATGAATCACTCAATTATAGCGTACGCTCGATCTGAACTATCAATGAGTCCCAGTAAGGTAAAGCAAGCAGATCTACAATTTCTAATTGTTTATATATTCTAAATCCAAGCAAAGAATAGGGAAACATGCTAGAACGAATCCAAAGAGCAAAAAGAAGCCTAAGAAACACCAATCAAGACGAAGGTCGAATAAAACGAATAGAAGCAGTGCAAAACTTAGGAAATGTAATAGAAAAAGCAAAACAATTATTCAATGAGTTCAAATCAGAGAGGTAAGATTCCGTACGTTTTCCACCGCCGAAGACATGATGAACTGGCCTCTCCCTTCCAAAAAGGCGGAAGACCTTCTCCTTCAAGGATCCCTCGGTTTCAGAGTCTGATCCCGACGAAGAAGAATCATGATCATGAATCTTCTCGACTATCTTGTCGATCAATGACTCCGATTTCGACTCAACGTTGTCAGAGTGTTCCGCCATGATTGATCGATGGCGATTGCAGTGACCAAGATCTGAAGAAGAAAAATCAAGCAACTCGATGCAGAGAGAGAGAAACTAGGGTTTTAGAAGAAGAGTTGAAGGAATTTGAAAAGTAACGAAAATGGAAGCAAGAACGACAATTAGATATTAAATTAATTGATTAATTAATTAACGGGTTGGCCAATGCGAAAGCAGATTGACGGAAACTGTCGTGGAAAAGGTACGGCGTTAATTGACGGCGTTGAAAAAAGCTGACGATTTAAAAGGAATGTTTGGGAAAGTAGCCGACACGAAGGGGAAATATGAGGACACGTGGCATCGAATCAAACTAGGTCAGCTCTGGACGGCTTGGACAGTTCTGTGGGTCGGTAATGGGGTCCACGTTTTGTGTGAAATACCATAACAGTCCTTATTTTCTCTCCTTTTAATAATAATAGTTTTAACATCCGAATAATTATAAATTATGATAAATAAAATTAAAAAAAAAATGTAATTTCAAGTTAGATTGAGTTGTGAAAATTTTCGGGTTGGGTCAACCAAAAATTGGGTAAAAAAAATCCTTCCGATGGTGAATTAAAAATTTATTAAAATTTATAATTTTTTTTTGTGTTGCTTTTTTTTTTTTAATCATTTCAAATAAGATATTTAATTAATAAGCTTAAAAAAAAGAACTATTTTGAGTAAAAACATTTGAAACCCAAGCCGGAATTTTCTTTTAAAAAATAGTTTAATATTCAAATGCTATAATTGTAATATTTAAGTTAAAGACTATGTTGAATTTTTTATTTTTATTTTTATTTTTAGAACTATGCCTATTAAATGATTTCTTTTGAAATTATATTAGTAAAATATTATTTTATATTTTTGTCTATGAACTTACATTAAACTTCTAAGAGGGTAAAAAAATAGTTGGATTGGGCTGGGCCTTTCAAGTAAAGATAGTTTAAGGGCCAGGCCTTTAATAACAATTTGGGCCGGCCCGTTAGTGTAAAGATTTTTATCGAGAGTGCATATCAATTGGGCCCAAATATATTGGGCCTATAATCTGAACTAGCCCTTGGACCTTTTGATGGTTTGAAATTGGAGAGAGTTTTGAAGTAGGAAATTTAGGTGATATATGAGTGAATTATGAGCATTAATTGCCAATTCGGTATGTTGTTGTATCCAACACTCGTTTCATTTATTGTTTCTACAAAACTTAATTTCATATCAATAATTCAACCCTAATTATTTTACATATTTTTGTATAAAAGTTTAAATTTTTTTACCAAATATAACACGACAGATACCGATTCAAATCTCTAACATTTTGATCAAAAAATAGGGTGACTGAAACTGGTATAACTTGAATGTCGTTCTTACTGTGTTTTCTCTCTATAATTTTCATAGTTTTGATTGTCGTTCTTCCTCTATAAGTCTATCTATAAGTCTACATGTATTTTGACTATAGACTTCAATCACGAAGCAAGTAACTAATCGATGATAGTATAAATCGAAAGATAAAAACGTGCAACATAGTTTTGTAGTTCTCGTGCAATATTGTTTATTTGTTGTTCTTCGAGTGAAATGCCTTAGACATTTTTTTTTTTTGTACAAATTTTCAAGATAATCAGAATTTGGTCGACGAAATGATGGGTTTTCAGACTTTCGGTTCTCTTCTACAAGTTTTTCGATAATGCTTTTAGTCAATGAACTTTCAAAGATGTGATAACATTCATCAACTTTACACTTTCATTTTTAAAACTTCAATTTTCTACTTTTAAATATAACTGGACTAATCAAACATATAAACTTAGTCAACCTCAACATAA